TATAGAGGGACTACTTTAGGGCCAAAGTATAGCTATTTGGGTACATGGACCCTTGGGGGAAGCTAACACCTTCGAGCCGATCCTCAGGCCCTCAAAGCCATGTCGGGTTGAGGGTTTAGGGCTTAGGGGTAAAGCCCTTCGAAACCCTATAGACCCTGAAAGCTGCAAATCCCTAAAAAACTGAACGCCCGAAGCCCTGAACCCGAAAACTGCAGAGCCCAAAAGCCCCTAAACCTTATCCTCATACCTGAAACCCTAAACCTTCAAACCCTGAACCCTAAAATGCGGGGGTCCAAGTACCCAAATAGTTGAGCACTAGGTACCAAACACCAATCAGAGTACGGAATTTGGGAACCCTTGAGTTAAACCTTTCCTTAACCCCAAATAACCTACCTTTTTTAAGTACCTCTATAAAGAAATCACAATAAGGAACCCTAAAAAGGTAGGTTATTGGGGGTTAAGGTTAGCATAAATCTAAACCCTAAGCCCTAAACCCTAAACCCTAAACCTACATCGGGAATCTTCCGAGTCGCTGCGCGGGTGGCGCAGACTGCATGGCCAAGCCGGGTGCAACCCGAAGCCACCTTGCACGGTTTAGGGTTTAGGGTTTAGGGTTTAGGGTTCAGTAACCTACCGTTTAACCTATGGTCTGAATTAGGGTTTATGGTTTAGGGTTCCTACCGTTAAACCTATGGTCTCACTTGTAGCTCCTTTTTCGGGTGTTAAGCAATTCTAAATGAAGGTTCTTATCGGGTAAACCCCCCAAAAACGGATCTACAATGGAAAGTACAAGCAGGTTGAGGGATGCTGGCTTAGGGTTGTTAAGCTGTGGAACATAAGGTTTTTGTTTCGGGACTCGTATGTAGGGCATAGGGCCGCTTTGTGGGTTTTGGGGGCTTGGGTTTAGGATTTAGGGCTTTGCAGCAGGGTTTACGGCGTAAGGGTTCGAAGTGGGGTTAAACCCTACCTTTCCAAGGACCTATATAAGGAAATCATATTAAGGAAGCCCAGCAAGGTAGGTTATTTGGGCTTACTTGCAGACCTCGGGGACTGAGTAAGTCGGTTATAAGTAGCATTGTTATTGGGGTATTGCCATTTAGGGTACTTATAACTCCATGTTTAACCTACTTCCTAAGTCCCTGGGCGTCTGAGTAAAGTCGAGCTTAGAGTTTGCGGAACTTGTTACTGAAACTGCAAGGTCGAAGGACCTAACCCTGAAGGATCCGGTAACAATGTACACAGGTTACGATAGTAGTTACCCAGGATAATATTTGGGAGAGTATATGATAATTAAATACTTGGAGCCTTAGGGTAAGTGGCGACTACCTTTAACAAAAACACATGGTGGCATAACCTACCTTTCTGGCCGGATCTTTCTATAAACTCCAATAGAGAACTTATGGTTTGTATCGGCTTCACAACTGTTTAGGCTCTAGTCTAACGGAATGGGTTCAGGGGTTAGCGGGTTGACGGTGGACATTGAGGTTTAGGCCTCAGTTTATTGCAGGAGAGTTAGTTGAATTGGTGTCTTGTTTTATGGTTTGTTTTGCGCTTACAAGTAAAGTTCTTCACCCTAGAATCTCTAGAGCCCTAAACTCTCGAATCCGATCACACTAAACCCCCCCCCCCCCCCCAAGCCTAAAATGGTGGCCCACGGTGAGTGATGGGCAAGCAGGTGGAAGAGCGAGTGCGTTTCTGTCAGCAGCTCTTGCCACAGCTCATTCACCTGCAGCTCTCTCCTCGATTCAACGGCCTAAACCCTAAACCCCCAAACCCCGAAACCCCAAAACCCCAAAACCCTAAACCCTTGTTTGCGAGCTTTGTCCCTCGCGCTTAGTTTCGTCTCAGTGAGCAGCATGCGATGAGGCCAAAGCGAGCCCCGGGTCCGGATTTCAAGACAACCGGGACCCTCCTCGTACCCTCAAATAGGATTTAGGGTTTATAAGGTTAGGGGTATGTGGAACCAAATTAAAGGTACTTAGGGTCTAAAAAATAGAGGGTAGATGGAGTGTCTAGGAAGGTTTGCCTGATCAGTTTTGCAGGTGTTCGGCATACCTGGAATCATTGAACCTCTATCACGACCCGAAACCGCAAACCCGTAAACCCCAACACCCCTAAACCCTCCACCCTAAGCCCTAAACCCCTAACGCCTCAACCCCTTAACCCTAAACCTCTGAATCAAATCCATTCGGAGTATAGTTCGCGGGGTCTAAGATCAATATTTTAGTATACCTCAAGGGCGTCCTGAACCCTGAAAAGGTTCAAGGTGCATTTAACATTTAGGGATTCATAAATATCAGGGTATCGTGCCCCTGCTTATAAGGGTCCTGTGGGCCCCAATGTATTCTAGTTGAAAAAGCCTAAGGGTCCAAGTACCTAGTCATCATATACTCTCCCAAATTGTATCCTACATAACTACTATCCGAAACCTAAGTACCTGATTATTGGGTCCTTTGGACCCTTGGGGACAAGCCTAAAGTGTAGAAAACCCTAAACCCTCAATCCTAAACCCTGAACCTACACCCTAAACCCTAAACCCTAAACCCTAAACCATAAAATGCCTAAAGTGTAGAAAACCCCTGGGGACCATTTTCTTTACAGTGCCCCGCCGATCAGACCAGTCAGGCCGATGGCTGGTGGGTCTGGGTTTAGGGTTTAGGGTTTAGGGCTTAGGGATTAAAGTTTAGGGTTTAGGGTTTAGGGTTTAGAGTTTAGGGTTTAGGGTTTATAGGGTTTGGGTTTAGGGTTTAGGTTTAGGGTTTAGGTTTAGGGTTTAGGGTGGGGAACCGTTGATCTGGGTAAGAATAAGTGGCAACCCTACTTCCTACCACGGTATTCCGATTTGGAACCGTGCACTTACGGAAAAAAGACAAGTCTAAACGAACCACCTCTTTACATTCAGGCTTATTTTCAATGAGTGCGGCTGGACGACGAGACCGATGAATCCCGGCAGCCGAACCCAGACGCTCCATGTAACCATATATAGTAGATGCCTTAAAGTAACTATATAGGGACCCCTTTAAGGCCTAAGTCTACTATAAAAGTACATGGAGCCTTTGGGGAAAGCATATACTCGCCCAAACCCTCCAAAACCCGTAACCCTAAACCCCTCAACCCCTTAACTCCTAAGGCCTAAAACACTAAACATTAACATGTAAACCGTGGCTAATGGCGGAACCGGGCCTGCATTGTGGCTCACCTCGGCGGGAGAAGTGAAGTCGGCCTATGCTTCTGGTGCTTCGGGTTTTGGAGGCATGAGGCTGAGGCTGAAAAAGGCAACCCGAAACCCTACGAGAGCTGAGGGTAAACTATTCTGGTGTATAGGAGGTTGAGAGTTGAGGGTTCAGGGCTTCGGGTTTCGGGTTCAGGAAGTTCAGGGTGTGGAGATTCAGGGTTACAGCTCAAGATTTGAAGAACTTGGGGTGTCGGCTGTGGTCCATGGTTGCAGGAATGCAACCTGCCTCAAGGGCCTGCGCTGAGAATAGGAAGTCGAAAGCATAGGCTTAAAGAGGTTAGGTTTATGGATGTTATTAGTAAACTACCACCCAAAAAATCTATTCGGATGTGAGCGATTTTCATGTACTCAACCCCAAAACCGATTCACAAACCCTGAACCCCTCAGCTCTCAGTCTCCCCATCCTAAATCCAAACCCTAAACCCTGAACCCTAAACCCCAAACCCTACCTTGAACTACCATAACCTACTTTTTTGTAGGTCCGTATTATAAGCCCTAATATAGAATTCATAGGGACCCTACAAAATAGTAGGTTTTGGTAGGTTAAGGTGAACCCTCAAACCTGAACCCTCAGTTTTCGGCTGCCCCACACATGCTAAGAGCCCAGCAGCG